GCAAAGCGCTGCGCAAGACTTTGGGCCCCCCCTGCCCCCGCCACCTCCAGCGCTCTCGACGCCGCGCCTGCATGTTCGCCGTCGCTCGCTACAGGCGTCTGTCCCGAAAGATGCCCCAGGGAGCCCTGCCGCAATCTGTTCGCATCTACTTCGTCAACCGACGACTTCTTTCTCCATCATGCCAGCATTCGGGGCCCGCGCATCCGCGTCGCGCGCCGCCGCCCCCACCGAATCTCGAGCCCCGTCGCAAGGCGCCGCGTCCTTCTGCGCCATCAGCTTGTCCAACGCCGCACTGTTGGGCGGCAACCGAAGAATTGCCGGAGGCACGCCGTCCTTCGGCAACTGCTCCGCCTTCTTCTCCATCGCTTCAACGTCCACGTTCACGTAGGCCCTGTGTCCGAGCTTCTTCATCATCTTGACGCGGCGCTTCACGACCTCGCGCCGCACGTTCGCTTGATGCACGAAACGCGGAGGATTCTCTTTCGTTGTGGTATCGTTGACTTACAACAGGATCTGGACGACCGACCCCGACCTCTCGCCCGCGCGAGGTAGCGCCGACGCCCCTTCTTCCCGCCCCCCCTTGCCTAGCTGCCGCAATTCTCTCGATATCCCTCGCCACGGCAACGCGGAGCTGGTCGCGTTCCCCCGCGCCGCCAGCCGCCCGCTGAAACCCGACGACGCTTGCGAACAACGACCCTTTGCCTTTCCCACCCTCTCCTTCGCTCTGGAACTTCACCTCCAGGGAAAAAATAAATCATCGACGTGATGCACGGGCTAAAACATATCATCTCCGTGACCGTCATGCCTTCCGCGCACAGGCGATCTGGCGCATAGAACGCCATCAAGTCGTTCGCCAGACTCCGCCGCGGCACCGTCGACAGTTCGGCCGCGCACCACTTCGCCGGCGCGCCCACCTCAGCTTTGCACTCCGCGCATAGCGGCACGCTGCATTCAGGACGCGCCGCCCCCTCTCTACACACCCCTTCTCGCGCAACTGGTCTTCTGGGCAACACAATATGTTCACATCACCGATACCCGTCGGAACTGTCACTGACCAATCGTTGAAGTCCTTCTCCTCCCACGCGTCGCTCAGGGGTCTCACGCGCCGTTGCCGGGTTCGAACCGACACTCTCGCATGTGCGCTTCCACGGTGAAGCGCAACCTGACATGCGGCGTTGGCCACCCGCCGAAATGGCCCACCAATGCAGGATCCTCTCGGGCTGCTCTGAACGGTTGCACCCAAGATATTTGATTTCCACACCTACCTCGCTCCTGCGGGAACGCGCGCGCGCACGCAAAACACATCGGGGACGCAATTTGCACATTTGCAAACTTCTCCCGCGCAAGGAATGCGCCGCCAGGTGCGCCCCCCTCCGAAGGACATGCGCAGCAATATCGTGGTGCGCTGCCTTGACGCGGAGCAGTTCATCCTCGCCCGACGGCCGCGCGAATTCCGCGATAGCCGACGCTACGTCTCGCTGGTCGCCCCGCACGAGCTCGCACAATTCCTCGGCGTCTTCCGACTCCCACGCGCGCCCCGCGAACGCGCAATGCACCGGGGCAAATCGACAGCCAGGTCCTCCGCTAGCGCCCCCCCCCCCCACGGACGCGCGGGGTCTGCCGCGTCCGCCGGAACAGTCGGGTGGCGACGCACGTGCGCGGCCGCGTCAGCAACGAGTAGCTCGCGGGCCCTTCGCGGATCGTTCGATTCGCCGTCTACCCGGACTTGATAGAATGCCCTCTGCGTCGCGTCCGCGGCAGGGACGCCCTCGCCCTCCCCTGCGACGGCCCCCGCGTTCGCTCCTGCGCACGCAGGCGCGTCCGCTTCATCTGTCGAGCCTGCTCCAGCCCCACGCATGTTGCGCTTGGCCGCCGTGCCACTGGCCACTCTCTGGTCTTGCCTCTCTGTTCCTGCCTCTCCGTCTGCGCCCATCGCTCCGTCGCTCACAGCGACAGCGGCTGCGCCGGCCCCGTCGCTCGCGCATCGGCCGGCGCGCTCTGCCCCGTCGCTGCAACCTGTCCCGCTCCATGCGGCCACGAGCACCTTCTTCCCCGCGCGATTACCGTTCCCGCCGCCGCTCGCACTGCCCCTTTGCCGCCCACGCGCCGCGACCCCTTCAAACCCCAACCGCGGCGGGGACGGCCGAATTCTTTCAGCCTCCACTCCACCGTGCTCCAACATCTGCCCTCCGCGCGCTCCCGCGCCGTCTCTCGTCGCGCCGCCGTCGGCGGTCGCTGTTGCCCCCGTTCTGCAGGCCGTCTTTGCGTCTACACCTACCGATGCTCCCTGACATGGGGCCGTTGTCTGCATGGGCCCCGATGCTCCGCTCCGCGGTCGGTTCCAAGTGGCACCCGACCCGCGCCACCCGCGCGCGCGCTGGAGGGAAGAGGCAGGACCACGCGCCGCCCAAGCGGGAGGGGGGGGAACGGGGGGGAAGGAGCAGGGAGGAGGAGCAGGAAGGACAGGGGAGGGAGTAGGAAAAGGGAGGGAAGAGAGAGGTTTGCAGCAATGCACACGAGGGAGAGAGCAGGGAGGAGGACAGAAAGGCGGAGAAGCAGTAACAGAAGGGAGATAGGAGGGAGCAGGAGGTTTGTGGCAAGAAGGGCAAACGTGTGAGAGTAGGGGCGAGCAGGACACAGGGATGACAACGGAGGGAGAGAGAAACGAGGAAAATTAGCTCCTTGCACTCGGGGCTTACGTCGAGATTCGCGCCTCCAAAATCGAGGCTCCAGGGCCGTTTGAAGTCGATCCGGGATATCCGGCATGAGAAGCTGCCCCGAATGGACACCAACTGGAGTCTGGGGACCGATTTCCAACGGCTCTCAAGGGCCGAAACGGAAGAAGGAGCTCGTCCAGCCCTCGGCGCCCTCCTCGTCGCCGCGGCCGGACGCGGCTTGGAAAACTCGTGCGTTCGCACCCCGGGAGAAGTCCAGTGACCCGGTTTGACCGCTACAATGGCTACCCGTTTGACGGATGTGGCACAGAACGGAGTCACTGACTCGTTCAAGGGGTCGGCGGATGTGGCGTGAGCCTATAGAATCAATAATACGACTGCGAGTAGCACTCGTAGTATTAGTATTGGCGTTCGTATGATTAATGTTAGTAGCGTTACTCTTCTCACTCATTCGTGGTTGTAGTCTTCGTCGAAAAATTCGGATGAGTTAATATTAGTACCATTCGTTTTCTGAATAGTATCATTATCCTCCTTATTCAAATTCTGAATATCCGTATGATCATCATTATCATGATTCGTCCTCTTCGTATTGATAGTCTTACTGTTACTACGATTCGTCATAGTATGAGTATTGGTATTATCCATAAGTTTACGATGTCTTTCTTGCTCCTCCTCCTCCTTTTCCTCCCCCTCCTCATGTTCCTCCTCCTCCTTCTCCTCCTCCTCCTCCTCCTCCTCCTCCACCTCCTCCCCCTCCTCCTCCTCCTCCTCCTCCTCCTCCCCCTCCTCCTCTCCTCCTCGTCCTCCTCCTCCTCCTCCTCCTTCTCCTCCTCCTCCTCCTCCTCCTCCTCTCCTCCTCCTCTCCTCCTCCTCCTCCTCCTCCTCCTATTCCTCCTCACATTCCTCCTCCTCCTCGTCCTCCTCCTCCTCCTCCTCTTCCTCCTCCTCCTCCTACTCCTCCTGCATCTCTGCAATCCAACTCCGTTATAGGTAACTCCCCCGCGTCGCAGCCCCAAGCGTGTCGGCAGGTATGGCCGGGCGTTTAGCCTCAGACTTCCGCACCATGTCTGATCATCAAGCTCGCAATTTGCAACAGCTCCATGGATGGAGGGTTGGCAATTTTCGCATGTGGTCTCGACTGCGCGTCGCGCACATCGATCTTCAAAATGTGCAACAGTTTCACAGAGGGGGACAGTCGGTTTTCAACATGTGGCTCTACTCTGAGCGCCGCGCGCATTATGTTTAAAACTCTGCAGCAGCTTCACGGATGGAGGGCGGCTCCTTCTCAGAATGTGCCTCTCGCCACAGCGCCGCGAACATTCGTCGTCCAAGTTTGCAACCGCTTGGCGGATAAGGGCAGGCCTTTTGCAGAGTGAGCCTCTCGCCTCAGCGCCGCGTACAGTCGTCTCAAAGTCCGCAACAGCTTCACGGATGGAGGGCAGGTTGTTTTCAAAATGTGGCTTTCAAGTTGGCATCGCGCACATTCGCCTCAAAAGTTGACAACCGTCGCACGGATGGAGGGCGGGTCGTTTTCAAAATGTGGCTCTCGACGTAGCGCCGCGCACTTTCGACTCAAAAGGTGGAAACCGTCGCACGGATTTGAGGCGGCTCCTTTTCAAAATGTGGCTCTCACCCCTAGCGCCGCGCACATTCGTCTTGAAAGTTTGCAACAGTTTCAAGGGTTCGTATGGTCGAGGTCGCAGCAATGACGTTCTGGCACGACTCAGATTCCAGAGCTGTCAGGACGCAGCAGTCACGTTCATTCGGGGCGGTGAAGTACCAGGAGTGGTTCTCGGCATGATTGAGGATTCTCAGACGGCCCCACACCTCCTGGAGATATGAAAAACACGACGGGCGGTTTTTCGCCAGTTTCAGCCTCTGGGGGCCCTTACCAGGCCTCGGGGAATGAGTCCAGACCTCTGGGGATCGACGTCATGAAAAATGCATGAGGCATGGAAGATGGCTCCAACACGGCCAAAGAAGCCCCCGAAATGGCCCAAGAGACCTCCAAGATGACCTTGAAGTGCCCCAAGAGGTCCCTACGACGGCCCAGAGAAATCCCCAAGACGGCCTCCGAAGGTCAAGAGGCTTCTCAGAGGCCCCCAGGGGCCCCCCAGAGGCCTCGAAGAGGCCTCAGGAGGTGCAGTTTGCGGTTGTGCTTTTGGCATGGTAGCCGCGATAAGTACCTACGGCTCGACTACAGCAACGCGAGAAGGCGCCGACGTGTGCTAATCTATTCCGCCGCGGCGCATGTCCAAGTGTATGAGGGTTTCGCGCCAACGGCATCATCTACACACGTGTGCCAGTCGCCGACGTGGCCATATATCAACTGAAGGGCAACGAGAGAGGGGGACTGGCTAAGGGGGGGGCAACGACCTGGAATCGGCAATACATCACCGATAGATCGGCGATAGGCCCCGATGTTGAAACCGCACGTTCCTGGGCGGGGTGGGGCTATCAGACCCCTATCGGCGACGCATGGGCGATTGGGGGTCGATACCTCCGCCCTTGAGCCTATCCCCTCCTGCCGTTGCCCCTGATCAACGCAGCAACCAGGAGGACACGGAGAAGCCGTCGTCTGCGCGTCGACCACGTCGCCGTACTTCTTGCACTCGGCCTCGATCTCGGCCGATGTCAGCGCCACCGACGCCAGCTCCACGGGCCGCCGTTCCATGATGGCACGTCGGAGGTCGGAGAGCACCGGCCGAACAGCGACAAGCTCGACGCCCGGCTCCACCTCGGAATCTTCCGCGAGCCCGTTCGGCAGCGTCATCGTCTTCCAGCTCCACGTGAGCTCAGGGACTGTCTGACCAGTGGCGTTGTCGATGAGGACCAGGGCAGGCTGCACCATGTTGTAGGTCTGGTCCATGTACGCACTCTGCACCTCGATCAAGAATATGTCGCCAGCGTCCTTCACGAGCAGCTCATGGTCTGGGTCGCTCACCAACTTCACCGTGCCAGGCAGCTCTGCGACTCCGCGCTCGGTGAGTGCACTCTGAAGGAACTCCGAGCCGCCTGGTTGAGCCGTGACCAGCGTCACGCTGACGCCATCACCGAGCAGGTCCGCGGCCAAGTTCGCGAGGCCCGTGATCTGCTCGCGTCAGGGCGGTCACCACACGCCGCGGAAGTAATAGCGCAGCTCGTAGGTGGCCATCGTGCTGATCGGCGCGCGGCAGGCGAGGGGAGCAGGCCGCCAGCTGACCGCGCCTGCCTGGAGAAAAGAGGGGAGCGAGAAAGAGTGGGGGGTAGCAGCACAGGTATGGATCGAACGTCGATCGCCGACCCTCCCTTCCTCTCACTCATTCTATCTGGCTTGCTCGACCTCTCACGCCCCTCGTAAAGACAAAGCCAGGACGAGGATACAATCGGGTAAGGATTAATCGAGAATCTCTGAGATCCGGCAGATCTGGAGGATGTCTCGGGCGCCGCGGCCTTCTCAGAGCGTTCCAGAACGCTCTGAAACCGTTCCAGAACGCTCGGAGTGGATTCATGTTCTAGCCCCGTCAGACCTTTTTTTTCTCTCTCTCTCTCTCTCTCTCTTTCTCTCTCTCTCTCTCTCTCTCTCTCTCTCTCTCTCTCTCTTTCTCTCTCTCTTTCTCGCAATCTCTCTCTCTCTCTCTCTCTCAATATGTTTTTGTCTTGTTATCTCTCTCTCGCTCACTCTCTCTCTCTCCTTCTCTCTCTCTTTCTCTCGCTCTCTCTCTCTCTCTCTCTCTCTCTCTGCGAAGAGGAGGACGGCGGCGGCGGCGAGTACGCGGGCAAGAGAGGGGCGGAGAGCCTGGAGGGGGAGCTGCAGCGGCAGGGGAGGAGAGCAAGAGGTTTCTGCGTACAGGGGCGCCGGCAGGGGAGGAGCATCGGGGTCGTCCAAAAGAGAGGCGTCCACCAGGGGGGAGCGCAAATCCTGGCCGGCGGCATGTGCGCTGCCCAGGGGGGGCTGGGGACGTGTTGAAATCAGAAGAGGCGCCAAGAGATCTGGGGAGGTATCATGACCCCCGCCATGAAATCCGCCCCTTCCTACAGTAGGAGCTCGACCACAAGAAACCTTCCACAAGAAACCCAACCCTGAGACCCCGTGACGTCCATTGGTTTGTCGGTGTGGGAACGTCACGCCTTCCATAGCAAAACCATCGAAGCCAAGAAAACCCAGAGCACCCTGGGAGCAAACAAAATGTTTCTTGGCATGGGTTTCCACTTGAGTTGTCGCCCCCTCTTTGCCGCCCGGGAGCAGGAGGGGCGACAGAGAGAGAGAGAGGCCGAGGAGGCGCAGCAACATCTCAGCGGCATGTTCGTGCCGAAGCCGGCACGGTGAGGTGAGGCAATTCGAGTAGGGGATCGACTACAGAGTTGATGTACCCCAAACTTGGTTTTCTCGTCGAACGCATGAGAAAGAATGCATAGAATAGTAACAGGATCTACGGAGCACTGTGGGTATGTTTAGTAGATTCGGCAGGGAATCCGCCGACCCCATGAGGCGTGTGGGGAATCCGATGTCTCTTTGTACATCACACACTCCCTACCAACGCACCCCCCACGGGACTCCCCCACCGCGCCTGACACCGCAAGCCGGCTGAAGCGTCTGGTTATAGCTTCTTAGGGGCCACCCACCCTGCAATAATTTCGCCAGGACCCCCCGCCGCGCCTGACACCGCCAGACTCCTGAGGGCCTGACACCGCCAGCCTCCTGAGGCCTCCGAACACATTGTTTATAGGCCACCCACCCTGCTAATTCCTCGCTGGGGCCACCCACCGCCCATGACACCGCAAGCTTACTCCTCCACCACGCCCCTACCGCGTCCAACATTCCCAGCCTCCTGAGGCCTCTGAGCATAGACTGTTAGGGACCCCCTCCCCTGCAAAATCTTCGCTGGGACCCCCCACCGCGCCCCCACCGCGTCTGCCTCCTGAAGCCTCTGGGGATACGTTTGTAAGGACCCCCCACCCTGCAAAATCTTTGCCGGAACCCCTCCACCACGCCCCCACCGCGTCCAGTCTCTGGGCAGAGGTTGTTAGCGACCCCCCACCCTGCAAAATCGTCGCCGGGGCCCCCGCTCCGCGCCCCCACCGCGCCTGACATTCCCAGCCTCCTGAGGCCTCCGAGCATAGACTGTTAGGGACCCCCTCCCCTGCAAAATTGTCGCCGGGACCCCCCCACTGCGCCCCCACCGCGTCTGTCTGGGCATTGGTTGTTAAAGACATCCCACCCTGCAAAATCGTAGCCGGGACCCCCCCACCGCGCCCCCACCGCGTCTGACATTCCCAGCCTCCTGATGCCTCTGAGCATAAATTGTTAAGGACCCCCCACCCTGCAAAATCTTCGCCGGGACCCCCCCACCGCGCCCCCACCGCGTCTGACATTCCCAGCCTCTTGAAGCCTCTGGGAATAGGTTGCTAGGGACCCTCCACCCTGAAAAAAAATTCGCCAGGATTCCCCCTCCGCGCCCCCGCAGCGTCTGACATTCCCAGCCTCCTGACACCTTTGGGCATAGGTTGTTAAGGACCCCCCACCCTGCAAAATCTTCGCAGGGACCCCTCACCGCCCCCCCACCGCGTCTGACATTCCCAGCCTCCGGAAGCCTCTGGGCATAGCTTGTTAGGGGCCCCCCACCCTGCAAAATCTTCGCCGGGGCGCCCCCCACCGCGCACCCACCGCGTCTAACATTCCCAGCCTCCTGAGGCCTCTGGGCATAGGTTGTTAGGGACACCCCACCATGGATAATTTTTCGCCGGGGCCCCTCCACCGCGCCCCCCCCCGCGTCTGACATTCCCAGCCTCCTGAGGCCTCTGCGCATAGATTGTTAGGGACCCCCCACCCTGCCAAATCTTCATCCTTCAACATTTTTCGCCTTAACTCCCCCACCGCGCCCCCACCGCGTCTGACATCCCCAGCCTTCAGAGGCCTCTGGGCATAGGTTGTTAAGGACCCCCCACCCTGCAAAATCTTCGCCGGGACCCCCCCACTGCGCACCCACCGCGTCTGACATTCCCAGCCTCCTGAGGCCTCTGGGCATAGGTTGCTAAGGACCCCCACCCTGCAAAATTGTCGCCGGGACCCCCCACCGCGCCCCCAACGCGTCTGACATTCCCAGCCTCGTGAGGCCTCTGGGCATAGGTTGTTAAGGACCCCCCACCCTGCAAAATCTTCGCTGGAACCCCCCCACCGCTCCCCCACCGCGTCTGACATTCCCAATCTCCTGAGGCGTCTGGGCATAGCTTGTTACGGACCCCCCACCCTGCGGAATCGTCGCCGGGACCCCCCCATCGCGCCCCCACCGCGTCTGACATTCCCAGCCTCCTGATGCCTCTGTGCATGGGCTGTTAGGGACCCCCCCACCGCGCCCCCATCGCGTCTGACATTCCCAGACTCTTGAAGCCTCTGGGCATAGGTTGTTCAGGACCCCCCACCCTGCAAAAATCTTTGCCGGGACTCCCCCACCGCGCCCCCACCGCGTCTGACATTCCCAGCCTCCTGAGACCTCTGAGCATAGGTTGTTATGGGCCCCCCACCCTGCAAAATCTTCGCCCGGGCGCCCCCCACCGCGCACCCACCGCGTCTGACATTCCCAGCCTCTTGAGGCCTCTGGGCATAGGTTGTTAGGGACACCCCACCCTGGATAATTTTTCGCCGGGGCCCCTCCACCGCGCCCCCCCCCCCCCGCGTCTGACATTCCCAGCCTCCTGAGGCCTCTGCGCATAGATTGTTAGGGGCCCCCCACCCTGCCAAATCTTCGCCGGGACGCCCCCCACCGCGCCCCCACCGCGTCTGACATTCCCAGCCTTCTGAGGCCTCTGGGCACAGGTTGTTGAGGACTCCCCATCCTTAAACATTTTTCGCCTTAACTCCCCCACCGCGCCCCCACCGCGTCTGACATTCCCAGCCTCCGGAAGCCTCTGGGCATAGGTTGTTAGGGGCCCCCCACCCTGCAAAATCTTCGCCGGGGCGCCCCCCACCGCGCACCCACCGCGTCTGACATTCCCAGCCTCCTGAGGCCTCTGGGCATAGGTCGTTAGGGACACCCCACCCTGCAAAATCTTCGCTGGAACTCCCCCACCGCGCCCCCACCGCGCCTCGCATTCCCAGCCACCTGAGGCCTCTGCGCATTCCTTGTTAGGGACCCCCCACCCTGCAAAATCTTCGCCGGGGCACCCCCACCGCGCCCTCACCGCGTCTGTCCCAGCCTCTTGAGGCCTCTGGGCATAGGTTGTTAGAGACCCCCATCCTGCAAAATCGTCGCCGGGGCCGCCCCACCGCACCCCATCGCGTCTGACAGTCCCAGCCTCTTGAAGCCTCTAGGCATAGGTTGTCAAGGACCCCCCACCCTGCAAAAATCTTCGTTGGAACTCCCCACTGCGCACCCACCGCGTCTGACATTCCCAGACTCCTGACACCTCTGGGCATTTGTTGTTAGAGACCCCCCACCCGGCAAAATCGTCGCCGGGGCCCCCGCTCCGCGCCCCCACCGCGCCTGACATCCCCAGCCTCCTGAGACCTCTGGGCATAGGTTGTCGAGGACACCCCACCCTCCAAGACCTTCGCCTGACTCCCCCACCGCGCCCCCACCGCGCCTCACATCCCCAGCCTCCTGAGGCCTCTGCGCATACGCTGCTAAGGGCCCCCCACCCTGCAAAATCTTCGCCGGGACCCCCCAACAGCGCCCCCACCGCGTCTGACATCCCCAGCCTCTTGAAGCCTCTGGGCATCGGTTGTTAGGGACACCCCACCCTGCAAAATCTTCGCCGGGACCCCTCCACCGCGCCCCCACCGCGTCTGACATTCCCAGCCTCCTGAACCCTCTGGTCATAGGTTGTTGGCGGCTATCCCTGACAGCAGTAACGCACTACCGAAAAGGCTCCTCGACCCTATGCCGAGGGAGGTCGAGGAGGAAAAGATGATGACTCAGATGATGTCGGCGATGCGTGCGCGCACGCTCCGCCCCACGCCTTCCGCCACGCGTCAGCGGGCTCTGCCGCCCGCGGCCCCTCGACCGCGGGCAGAGAGCCTTTCGAGGGCCAACGGGTGGGAGAGGCCTGCAGGGCCTCCTGGGCGGGCCAGCTTGGCCCAGAAAAACTAGAGCCCCAGAGGGGGGGGCGAGGGAGAGCAAGCAGAGGCAGGGGCAAGGACAGGAGAAGACGGGCCCCCGCACTCCTGGGGCCAGGGAGAGGCTAGCGTTTGACCAAACAACTAAGCTATCCCTGACAGCAGCAACGCACTACCGAAAAGGCTCCTCGACCCTATGCCGAGGGAGGTCGAGGAAGGAAAGATGATGACTCAGATGATGTTGGCGATGCGTGTGCGCACGCTCCGCTCCACGCCTTCCGCCACGCGTCAGCGGGCTCTGCCGCCACCTTTCGGGCGCGCCTGGCAGCGGTCGCTGCCGGCGCACCCTCCACTGCGGTCCGGGGGCGCGGGCGGCCTGCGGCCGCCGGCACACCCGGGGTTCTTCAAGCCCGCACCGCCGCCCCCTCATGACGGAAAAGCAGTTGCGAAGGCTGGCCGCGGGGAAACCCACGGGCCTGGCCGCGCGGGGGCACCAGCGTGGCTCCAGCCGCCAGGGCGCCCGGCCGCCGCCGCCCCCCGCGCACCGCAGCCCGCACGCGCACCGCTACCCGCGGACGCTCGGCCGCTCAGGGGCCACAGGCGGCCCGGCTGCTCCGCGGGCGCCCAGCCGCCGCCGTCAGCGCCTCGCAGCCCGCGGGCGCCCAGCTGCCCGCGGGCGCCCGAACCGCTACGCCTGGCGCCATGCGCCGGCTTGGCTCCGCACGCCAGGCCGTGGCCGGCGGCGGAGCACTCCATCCCTTCTCCGCTCGCCAGGCCCTCGGCCGGCGGCGCCGCTGCTCAGCCGTCTTGCGGCTCCTCCCCGTCTCACTCGCTCGCTAGGCCTCTGGCCGGCGGCGCCACTGCTCAGCCGAGGTGCGGCTTGGCGGCCACCTCGCGCGTGACCTCGCCCCCGCGCTGGAAGCCCTGGTTCTTGTGGAGGTAGCGGGTGCCGCTGTAGTGCACCGGCCCCTGGATCCCCGCGTCGCAGTAGATCTTCTTGGGCTTCTTGCCCGTCCTCCTGTCGCCCTCCATCGTCTCCTTCGGCGCCCCGCTCGAGCCCTGGGGCCGGCGGCCCCGCCTCGGGCTGCACCAGCAGTGCCAGGCCATCGCCAACGTCGTAGCCAGCACCACCACCAGCGAGACGATGACCTCCACCATGATCTCCAAGGGGATCGCGATGGTGATGTCCTCCCCGTCTGCCGCCAGGCGCACGCTGACGCGCTTCTTGTCCTCCTCCACCACAGCCAGCTCTTGGCTGGCCGCCGCAGCCTGTCCCAGTGCGGCCGCGGCCGCCGCTGCGGCCCCAAGGGCCGACAAGCCCCTGGGGGGGGCACGCTTGGCGCTAGCGCCGGCGGCTCCCTCCTGGGGCTTCGCTGCTGGCGTCGTCAGCTCCGAGTGGTCGTTGGCCATGCGCCTGGCTACGTCGCGCTGCGGCTCGTGCGACTCCCAGAGGTAGGCGTGGAACGAGTCCGACGCCCATCTCCCGTACCTCTGAACCTTGGCGAGGTCGTCCGTGACGTGGTACATAGCCGTGGCACCGCCGATCCTCAGGGAGCGGGAGCCGATCTCCTCACGCTTGAGGCCTGCCGCCAGGCCCGCCAGCGTGAGGAAGTGCTGCACCTCCTCGCGCTTCACGGGAGTGCCCGAGGCCCACCGGAACAGGGGCAGCCGCGCCTCCGCGCCGTGGTCGAAGCGCTGCGGGTGCTGGGCCTGCATAGCCGCCAGGGCCTCGACGGGGCACAGCGCTGAGTGGGTGGCGTACTGGTTGCGCACCGCCCCCACATTGTACTGGTCCGTCTTCGAGCCCTTGATATGCAGCACGCAGTCGTCGGCCTGGGCGAACTGGCCGACGCGCCCCCCTTCGAGCCTCGCCTCGATGTCCTCTCCGTGGACCACCCTGTCGACGGACCACGACCTCCCCGCCACCACCAGGTACTCCGACGCCCTCAGCAAGAAGGAGAAGGCGAGGAGCACCGCGGCAAACAGCGTGGCAGCGTCGGCCTGGGACAACCCCGCATCTGCATGGATGTGCTGCTTGAGCCACAGCAGCATCAGCGGGGTGACCGGCCTCTTCCGCCTGCTGCTGGGCCCCTGCAGCCTTCTCAGGCCGGCCAGGGTCGTCCAGAGCCGCCCCCGGTGAAGCAGCGGGTCGCCGTGCCCGACCATCAGGTGGGCGTACCTGATGGCGAACAGCTTCTGCTTCACCGCCCCTTCGGTCCGCGACAGCGCCACCGCCATGATGACCACGAAGTCGATCAAGGCGTCCTCGTCGCTGGTCCGCTCGCCGCGGCCCCGGCCCTGGAGCCACGGGCTCAGCCCTTGGGCAGCGCGGCACGCGGTCCACTGCCGCCAGCCGCCCTCGTACCCGCTGCGGGTGCCCTCGCCCAGCTTCTGCAGCATCACCTCCGTGCGCATGTCGCGGAGCCACTCGCCGCAGTGCCCCCCACCCACCATGGGGCGGGCGGGTGGCACTGGCAGGCTCTCGCGCGCCCGCCCCAGGGCCAGCGGCTGGACCAGCTCCGGCGTCGCCGCGGTCCGCTCTTTGCGGGTTAGCCGCGAGCGGGCGCCCCGGGGTGTGCGAGGGCTGGCCAGGCCCGCGCCCAAACAGACCTCGTCGGCGGACGGTGGGGTGGTTGGGCCGATGATCGTGTCTTCGTCGATCTGCTTGAACCTGATCCTCTGGTTCCTGTGGCGCTTCTTGTGGATCTCTGTGGAGAGCGCACCTCTGGCCGCCTCCCTGTCCTGGCGCAGGACCTCTGCTGCTGGGCTGTCTGGGGGGGCGATGGCCCAGGCCCGGAACCAGCGCTGCGTGGCCTCCCAAGCTGCCTGCTCCTCCGGGCCATGGCAGACCCCGACCTTCTCGGTGTCCACGTCCAAGGCCAACGCGACCGCCCTGATCACCGTCTGAGCCGACTCCGGCGGCAGGGCCCGCACCGCCGCGCGGAGCAGCTCCTCGCTGGTGGTCCCTTCGGCCAGGTACTTGTCCCAGACGGCGTCGCTGCCGCCCTGGAGGCGCCAGATCTCACGCGGCGTGAGCGCTCGCACCCTCCCCTGCGCGCTGCCGGGAATGTACAGCAGCGTGGCGCCGGGCCCCGCGGGCTCCTTGCCTTGCCACCGTGGGGTGCCGTCAGGGCCGTCCGGGCTGCGCAGCAGGTGCTTGGCCCCCTCGATGGTGATGTGCCCAGCGGGCTTCGACAACAGCGGACTGCCAGTGGAGCGAATCTTGGGGTCAAGGAGGGTCTCCCCCTGGCCGTCCAGCCAGTCCCCGTCGGGATTCAGCTCCAAGAAATGCTTGACTCCGCGAGCCACGCGGCGCGCCGGCGGCAACTTAATGCTCGCCAGGCAGCGCGCGAAAGGGCCGCGGCAGGCGACCAGCACCTTCCGGGTCCTCGAGGTGGCGCCCCCATGCTCGGTGCACAGGAGGTCGAGCGAGGTCAGCGTGTAGCCCAGCTGCTTGAGGGAGCGCTCATGCTTCTGGACTGCGAGCCCCACCGGCGCGTCGGCAATGACCACGCTGGGGCGGCCCTGTCCCACGCGGACAGGGAGGGCCACGGTCTCGAAGCCCCGCGGGCCCAGGGTCAGCGACGTGAGCACCCAGGCGGCGGCCTGCCCATGGCCAGCCTCACGCCCTCCGAGCTCTCATCTCGATATCCTTGGAGCAGCCCGCCCAGCTCGATGCCGGTCTGGCCGGTCAGGGGGAGGCAAGCCTTCGGCGCGGCTGGCGTGCGCAGGGCCCGATGCCGCAGGGCCGCCTCGGCCAGCGGCCCCGTCTCGCCGGGAATCCGCAGGAGCTTGTCCTGGGCGCCCCTAGCGATGGCGCCCCAGGCAGCGGGGGGCTCCAGCCGGTGCCAGCCAGCCCTCGCGAGCTCGCTGTGTACTTTCTTCACCTCCTCTCTCGTTAGCCAGTCCGCCACCTCGTTGTGGTACGTGCGCACGTAGAAGGAGGTAAGCATGAAGCCGTGCTAGGCCTCTAGCCTTTCGACCACGCGAAGCAGATGGCGGGCCAGTGCGTTATTGGGCGGACGCTTCGTCAGCCACGACTTGACGTTCGCGTTGTCCGTCACGTAGAGCACGAGTTCGTCCGCCCACAGATGCCCCCGGCATGCGGCCAGTGCCACCAGCGCCAGCAGCTCCACGACCGAGATGACCCAGTCGCCCTCTGAACTCGGTCCGGTCACCGCGTTGCTGAGCTGCTCCAGCAGCGGCCCCGCCTCCGTGGCCAAGTACGAAGGTGGACCGGCGGCGAGATTCTCGCTCGCACGGCCCCAGTCGACGGCTCCGATCGCATCCAGAGTCGCGTCGCCTCCAATCAAGCGGGCCCGGCGTGCCATCCCAGGCAGCGCCATCAGCTCGCGAGGGGTCAGCGCCTGGCTGAAGCCTGCCTGGAAAGACGTGATGCACGCCTCCGGCGCGTCGAACATCACCCGGAAGAGCTCCAAGGAGCGGCCCCACTCCTTCCACGCGGCCGCCACGGTGTCGGGGTCCCCCTTAGGACTCGCCCAGGCGGAGCCCTCGGCTACACGCCCCAAGAGCTTGTCGAGGACTGGGAGCTCAGGGCGGATCGCGGGTCATGCGGCACTCCAGTGCTGCGCGCACCCCCTCAGCTCCTGCACAAGCTTCGTGGGGGCGCGTCGTGATCCGTGGGCGAGCTCCGGCAGGGCGAGCAAGTACTGCGCTTTGATGCACTTCTGCTCGGGGAGGCGCGTTGTCTTCTTGCTGAAGTCCATGTGTAGCCCCCACACCAGCTGCTCGGGCGCGAACTCACCCTCTTCAGCGAGCTTGTCGGCGTTGACCACCTGAGGCCCCCAGACTCGCCGCGTGGCCGGGTCGAGCTCGTCCCCCGAGAGCCAGGGGCGGAGACCCACCAGGGGCTCAAGCACCACCCCGTCGTCCATGAGCCACTTGCTCGCGAAGCTGATCTCGCCGTTGACGGAGGGCGCGGGGGGCCGATGGCGTTCATGCTCCTTCTTCGCGGCCCAGGAGAATGCCCTGTATTCCCCCGGGCTGCCCGACCAGCCAAACACCAGCACGGAGTGGATCATCACGACCCTCCCTCCGATGCCGACGGCGTCTCCTGGCAGAGACGCCCCGAACTCCGGGACGGCAGCTGGCTCGAGGTGGTGCCACTTAAAGGCTCGCGCGGCGTCCCGTTTCGCGCACAGCTGCGGCACTCCGGGATGGCGGGCTTCCCACCACAGCGACAGCCTGGCGAGCCCACGATGGAGCGGCTGCTACGCCGGCGGGCGCTGCACCTTAGGGCTGTCCACGTTGGCGCACCTCATGTCGTGGATCGGCCTGCCCCCCGAGGAGATCGCCCTGTCGGGGCTCTGCTTGGGGGCGCGGCGGGAGGGCGACTCGATGACGGCGGACGTCTCGAGTATGTCGTTGACGTCGTCGGAGGCCCAGATCACGACGCCGAAGCGGGAGTCCTTCCAGCACTTCTCGAACATCTCCCCCGCGTGGTCCACGGCTGAGGAGTGCGACTTGTGAACCTCGCGTGTCCTCGGGGCAACCCTTCGAGAGGGCACGCCGCCCTCTGCCATGGCGCGCAGGTAGCTCCCGTGTTCGGGGCTCAGCGCGGCCTGGAGGTCGGCGCTCAGGACACCCTCCAGGGATCCCGCGCAGCTTCTCCCGGGCTGCCTTCAGGAGCCTGGCGGCCTCCTCCACAGAGCCCGTCGCGCGCGGCAGCCTGTTACCCCGCTCCACGACCTCCTTCACAAGCTCGGGCCGGTACTCGGGGTGCGAGGCACACCAGGCGACATACTGGGCCGCCTCCGCCTGGCCGCGCGTCGGGGCGGCGGCCGGCGTCTCGTCCAACGGTGGTCCCCCGCAGCGGCCGTCTATGTCTGGTGGCGGCGGAGCCTGCCGGCTGCCGGCGGGTCTCGCCTTCTGCGCCGGCGGTGGTCTCTGTGGCGGCGGCGTTGCGCTAGGGCGCGGGGCCCGGGCATCGCTCCTCCCTTGCCGCTGAGCTGCACTCTCCTTGTGCTCTTTGCCTGCGCCTGCAGCTTCGGGCACACCGGAGCGCCCCCGCTGGGCGCGCTGCCCGGGGAGGGCCCACGCTTCCTCGGCTGCGGGGCGAGCCGCCGAGCTGCGGTGCTGGCGCCGCCAGTGCACGGCGGATCGAGCATCTCGCAATCGCTGGGCTCCTCGTCGTCATGGGACTCGTCGTAGGCGCTGGGCTGCGCCGGCGGCTCCTCTCGAAGGGGAGGCGCCAGGCGGTCGCCTTCTAGGATGCCCAGGGACGTCTCGAGCTTCGTCAGCATCGTCACGAACTCGTTGCGGATCCGCACCTGCTCGTTGCGGGTCCAGCTGGCCCCTCGGGGGAGCCCCTCGTCTATCTTCGCGATTCCGAGCACAAGCAGCTCGCGCGCTGACGTCCTCATCTCGTTGGGGGCGTGCGTCCGGCCAAGAGGTCCCTCGCATAGTTGTTCAGCATGGTCTCCGCCCCGCGGCAGTCGTCTTCGCCCTCCAGGATGAGCAAAACCATCGGTTGACCTGTCTCCCATGTGGGCGTCAGCTCTGGATTGGCTCGCCCTGCCGCTCGCTCGGCTGCTCCAGCCGGCGGCGGCTGGGTCGATCCGGCCAAGGCGGCACGCCTGGCACCTGCGGTGGCCGGCGGCCTCCGCGAGCCTGGGCTGTCAATACTACGCGCGCGGCGACGCCGCGCCTCCTGCCCAGCCGGCGGCTCCTCGGAGGGAGCGCGCTCCTGGCTGGCTTCACTCCCTTCGCGCTGGCCGGCCTCCCTCTCCCTGCGGAGCCGAGCGGCTCGGCGCGCCCGCATCTCGTTGAGCCTGATCTCCAGCCTCTGCACGTCCCTGATCTCGCGCCCCTGTCGCCCTCGTCCCGGGCGCGCGCCGCCTCCAGCTCAGATCGGATATGGTGGAGCTTGGCGCTGTCGCCTGAGCTGGGCGCCCCGCCGGCGGCCGGGGCGCTAGCCTCGCCGGCCGCTGCGGCGGCTGCGGCTGCGGCCGCGGCGCTGCTGAACGTGGGCTTGGTCAGGAAGCTCCTGCTCATCTGGCGGGAGGCTGCGCGGTCCGCTATCCTGAGCGTGACGCGCCGCTGGGTGCCTCGGTCGCCCTCCTCCGACCAGGGGGCTCGGGGGTTCTCCTGGTCGCGCGTCCAGCGCGGGACCCAGATCACGAAGTTCTCGGGGTCCTCCGCGCCGATCCAGAGGATGAGGGCGTCGCCGGCCAGCACTCTCGTCTCATCCTCCAGCGGGGGGCCCATCTGCACCTGCTGTCTCCTCATCCTCGGTGTAGAAGAAGATGTGCATCCTGACGTCGCGGATGAGGTCGTCTAGCTCTCAACGGGCGCGAGGTCATCAGCATCATCTTGATGTCGATCACCGTGGTGGGCACCGTCGGTATGTCCATCCAGCGGTCGCCCCTCTGCGGGAGGAGGAT